AAATGTAATGTTTGCACGCTGAAGTACCAGGATGATGTGGTCTTTTATATATGCATGGAATGTAAGCATCTGGTTTGCTGCCTACAGGGAGGGAAAAAAAAAAGCTACTGATAAGACTGCTTCTAAAGGCTAACCCCACTTTCCCTCCCCCCAAAAAATATTCCCCAGAAGGTTTTTCCATAACACAAGGGCTTGCCATAACATCTGCCAGCCTCCCTTGCAATTCTCTGGGAAATGGGCTTTTCTAAGTCAGATTCCTAGAAAGCACAGGTCCAGGCAAAAATGGTCAAACTGCTTAGGATTATTTCTTTCTGACTTTTCATTTTGTGGTTATTTAAATGCAGTCTAAGACCAAAGGACAAAGGTCAAGATTAAAACACTGGTTTCAAATTCTTTGTTATCGTGCACTGGAAACTATGCATCTTATGACTAACTGAATTTGTGTCCTTGTGTGCTGGGTTTTATACTACTGTCACAGGAAATACAAAATTGTGCCAAAAGTACAAAAGCTATTGGAACGAAGTGCAGGAGAACAGAAAACAGTCAAAACACTCAAAGGCCTGAAGTACTTTTTAAAAGAATTAACATAATTTCAGTTTTAATTTGTATATCACACCTCCATTATAGCTTTGAAAGAAAGTCAATGGGAAAACCTGACTCACTGAAAGAACTGTCAAGCTTCAAAGTAAGTAAGTATATATATACACACTTACTCTGAAGTATATATATATATTCAATAAGTCCTAGAAGCACTTGCTGCATGTCTTCTTGCTGCTCCTATAACAATAGCTCTTGCAAGATGAGACTGATTTATAAAGACTTTGGGAAGCACCTTGTAGATAAGGGATAGATAAGATAAGATCACTCTATTGGTCATATACAATTCATTGTATTAGGAATTTGTCTTTTTTCAGACACTAACTTGCTCTCCATGAGACACACAGACAGGGAGAGAAGCTTGGGGTCAGAGCGCAGGGTCAGCCATGTTTACGACGCCCCTGGAGCAGTTGGGGTTAAGGGCCTTGCTCAGGGCCCCAACAGAGTGGGTTTACTCTGCCAGACGCAGGATACAAACCGGCAACCTTCCAGCCACAGGCGCAGATCCACACAGCCACCTCACCGCCCCAACAGTAGAACATGTGGCCTCTAGGGCTCAGAGACCAGTGAACAGGCTTGTCCAGGTTCTAATTTCCATATCTGAGTCACATTGACCCATCAGGACAAAGGATACCCTCGTGTCAAAGGCATTAAGTGAACAAGAGTGCCATGACTCACCTCAGATGGGAGCCTGTCTGTGGCAGAGATTACCCCCTGGAATGCTGGTTACCATTTATTCAGATGGGTGTACAGGAGAAACTAGAGAAAAGTACCTCACTCAAGGTACAACAGCAGTGTCTGCAGTAGGGACTTGAACCCACAGTCTACCTGTTAGAAGTCTGTTAGAGATTTACCCACTAAGCCAACCTGTCCCCAATGCATGTTGAAATAGTGTAAAAAATAGTTCTATTTCTTCTTTCAGGCACTTGAAATGTTTCTTTGTAATTTGTGAGAGTTCACATAAAATATAAACACTTACCGCTCTACCTCTGTTAAAAAATAATTTTACTCAATGTCTGATGCTTGATCTTGTCTATTTGCATTGTCCATTTATTTCCCATTTTTAACATTAACAACTTCTAAGAGAGCAGAATTTTGTGTGTGGGGGGGGGGGGATACCTGTTTTTTTTTCAGAATCCATCAAGACTAAAAGAAACAGAAACTCTAAATAATAGAAAAATACTGTATCACACTACAACTCACAACTGGAAACCCACTGAAGCTCAGCAGGTGTGAGCCAGGTCAGTACCTGGATGAGAGACCTCCTGGGAAAAACTAAGATTGCTGCAGGAAGGCGTTAGTGGGGCCAGCAGGGGGTGCTCACCCTGTGGTCTGTGTAGGTCCTAATGCCCCAGCATAGTGACGGGGACACTATACTGTAAAAAGGTGCCGTCCTTCAGATGAGACCGAAAAACCGACAGCCCAATCTCTGTGGTCATCAAAAATCACAGAGCATTTCTCAAAGAGTAGGGGTCTAACCCCAGCATCCTGGCCAAATTTCCCATTGGCCCTTACCAATCATGGGCATCTAATAATCCCCATCTATGAACTGGCTTCATCACTCTGTTCTACTCCCCATTAATAGCTGATGTGTGGTGAGTGTACTGGCGCACTATGGCTGCTGTCACATCATCCAGGTGGAGGCTGCACATTGGTGGTGGTGGTGGAGGGGAGTCTCCTGTTCCTGTAAAGCATTCTGAGTGGAGTGTCCAGAAAAGTGCTATATAAGTGTAAGCAATTAATTAATTACTATTTATTTCCTTTAAAATGTCTTAACCCCCAAATGACTAATGCATCTCTTAAAACCATCACTTGTCTTATCAATATGGCTGTATTATTTCATACAGACCTTTCAGTAACACTGGTCTAGCATTTAAACAAAAGCTGACCAAGGATAGATGAAACTCGAACAGCACACCATTTTAATGCATTTATTGGACTGACAATTTTATCCAAAGTGATTTACTTTGGAACCCATTTATGCAAGAGACATTTTACTGGACCAATCTCAGCAAAGTACTTTGCTCAAGCTTACAAAAGCAGTGTACCATCCAAGAAACATAATCTAGTTACATCTTCAGAGTCCTAACCACTACCCCACACTGCTCTCCTGGTGTAGCATCTTTAACTGGTGTAGTGTCACAAGTTGTCCCAATATAATTTCCTGTTAAAAAACATTGAGAACCCTTTCCAGAGCTTGTTTGTGCCAAACAACAACCGTAAGGAGAAAAAACCGAGTGCCATGCAGAAGAAAAGTGATTGGAAATGCAGCATGTAAAAAACCTCCAAGTCAACACTATATAAGCAGTTCCTTATAATAACACAACAGTGAAGCCAATGAGAAGGTGTCAGAGCTGGCCACTGAATCCTGTTTGTGGGTTGAGTTGTATTCGGACAAAAGGATGGGATCTAACCCTATCCAGATGGGCACAGGTTTGCTGAGGATGGACCAGGTCAAAACAGAAACTGGAGTATCAAAGGAACGAGCAGTAGTTCAGAAACTTGGCACTTTCAAGTAGCACTTACCAAGAGTATCATATAAACTTAACCCTGCTGTCAAAATTGCTGCTGAGAAGGAAATGAGGTGAAGGTCATGACCTGGAAAGCAGAGGTCAAATGTTGCAGGCCGCCACTCAAAGGAAGTCACTAGGTAAAAAGTTCCCCCTTAACAATAAGGTACCAGATGGCTGTTAAACCTGAGTCCGGGCTGATGGAAAAGCAGACAAATCTCAGAAGACTGTCGTCTAGGTCTTATAAATTAGAGGGATATATAAGTTACTCAGCAACTGTCACTCCAGGACCACACACTGCATAGTTATCTTCTGTTTACCTTTCCACTAAATCCAAAAACTCTAGTTGAAACTAAAAAAACCCTAGTTAGGGGTGCATCAAACCATATGTTTTGACAAAACTGAAAGCCTACATTTATACTTTATAAAGTTACATCTTATTTTTTAATCCTATCTTAAAAGGCCTAAAATATTAACAACAATAAATAACAACCTACAGAAAATAACTTTCACATACTATATTTCATACAAGCTACAAATTCCATTCAATAAAGTTCATTCTTACTGTTGCTTAAGCTATGCATTACTCCTCTCCACACAAAAAAACAAGAGTTGCTGTTACCACAGATGGCTCATCCATTATTTAAAACAAGTACTATTACAGAACAAAATACAGACATCCAAATTTTTTATTTTTCTTCACCTGTATGTCTGTGTCTAAGGAATGCATATTTAACATCTCCTAAAAGGCCCAAAGTCTTTTAGGCTCTAGGTGTGACTGCACTCAAAAAAATGGAACACACAGAACAAGCATATACTGTATAAGTAGCACTATTATCAATAATCCCTAAAGAAAACAAATGAACTCAGGACTTAAGGAAGACATAACAGCTTAGTGCCCCACTCAACAGGTCAACCTCAACAAGGGAAAAGCTAGCTGTTCTACATCTTGCTTACAGAACATCAAACACAGAATGGCTGACAAGATGTCAATACTTCAACATTAAAAGTCATGACAGAGAGACCTCAGTGGATCAGTGTATTTGCTTTTGACACCTGCACATTTGCACTAATCCATTAGGATCCTGAGATCTGTGTAACATTATGGTGACTACTAAAGATTCAGAATGTTCTGTTTTAGCTTTTTTTGCTGTACAGTCCTTTTAAAATAGGTTCTGCACAACAGTGTCAATTCCTGTGAATACAGACCTTCTTTGAAGATCAATATGGTACATTAGTTTGCTTTTCACAGAGGGATAAGCATTTCCTTGGTCAGTCTGGACTAATCCCTTATGATAACTTATTCACAATGATAATGCACAACCATCAAGAGGAACTAATCTTCACTCTTGATGAGGAATAAACCCTGGAGCCTAAACACCTTTCACATGAGGTTTTCTTTTTTTTTAGTTTTGAAAAAACAAGAACTCTTAATGCAAGGATGTGCACATGCCACATAAAAGTATGGCTAAACAAATCAAAATACTGTTAGCAAGAGAGCAATGTTTGTATACTTTTCAAAAAACAAAAAAACTACAGTAAACTATGTTCTGAAGAAGTTCCATGTTTTCATGTAGTTTTCAATTGGAATATTAGCAAATCTTTTTCCACTTTCCTCATTCCTTTCATGGTCTTTAAAAACTGGCAGTCTGCTATGGCTTGGCAAGGTGTTCTTTATCATCAGGAAGCACAATATCTCCCACCCATTTTGGAACGATCTCCATAATGCCATAGCTTACAAATTTTAAGTTTTACAACATCTATTTCGGTACAATCTGAATACTGTTTGCCATTCAAAATGTAATTACTCAGAAGATCTGAGTCCACATGGAAGCCATAGAGTTAACCAAAACACAAGAGCATGTCAGTTTTTCCACAGGATGGATAACTTACTTGTCATCCTTCTAGTAAGATCTTCAGGTCTCACAATCTCTAATCACATGTTGCTGTGTGTCAAGTAAATCTGTGAAAAGAAGACCAAAAAAAATGGCTTGCTTACACAAAGAAGTAACATGCCTGCAGTAAACAAAACTTCTTTGTGAGTAACACAGGAATGTGTCTTCAGCATTTTCCGGCTGCTACCATCACAAATGTCATCTATACAGTCAGGGGATGTCTAGTTCATGTCATTACCTCTACTGTGCTTCAGAAATTGCTTGAAAGTACATAGATGAAGCAGGAGTATTTTGGAACAAAATTTTGTGGATAGATGAGACCAAGATAAACCTTTACCATAGTGATGGAAGAGTTAAAGTAAGTAAAAAGAAAGGAACTGCACATGCCTAAAAAATACTACCATCTGCTATGATGGGTGGACTGACTTTGGTATGGTTTTATCTGCAACTGGCTCACTCACCTATATTGACAATCTAACTAAAGGTGACACAAAAATAATTACTTCTGAAGCTTACAGTGTACACTTGTCTGTTTATATACTGTAGACATCAGTGCTTCTTTACTTATTTGGCAGCACTTCACCAAGTATCATGACAATGACCCAAAACATAGTCAATGCACCCATGGAGTTCAATAGTACAAAAAGAGGAAAATCAAGTCAGTCTCCAAATTTAAATCAGGATGAGCAAGAACTTCACATGCTGAAGAAAAAACTGAAGAACATCCCAAGAATAGGCAAGACCTCGAAGTGGTTGCTACAAGGGCTTGGCAAAGCATCTCGGATAATTTCGGAGTTTGGCGAGCTCTGTGGGTTGCAGACTTCATGTGCTTGTTGCATCAAAGTGATGTACAACCAAATACTGACTTTTACACTCTGAAATATGTGTCCTAACATTCTGGTCACTTGAAATCACTGGGCTGAACTCGAAATATGCTTTTTGCTCAAATATGATCAACTCTGTGCATTAAATTACTAAAAAATAAAACACATATCGTATTGAATTTATAATTCAGATTGATTAGTCATGATCACAAATTACAAACTCCAGGATTATAAAGCAAAACTAACAAATAAGACTTTACTGTCTCAATAATTTTGGAGGGTGCACTATAAAAGTTATCAAAATGTTTAAAGTTAATATGGAATGGTAACGAACATTATGAACTGGCAGACCATGACAAGTAATCATTATACCAGCACTTTAATAAGATGTCTCTGTTAAAGTCATTAACAGCAGGATTTTTACTAATTTGAGAGGAGTAAACCACACTATTCATAGCCCAGGTTTACTTAACATATCTGTTGTTTAGATAAGTCTGACTTGGCTGAATATATTCACCAAATATATTTTTTGTGGCTGTTTTATACAACCAATTTTGCTGTTTCGCTGCTATGTAATAAACACAAGCTTATTGTTTATCATTGATTTTAACACAAATTGTAAACTTTTAACAGAAGAGTAGATTCTAAGAGAGAAAATATTTTCACACCAAGAGATTTACTGGTTGTAACCTTAGAGAAATGTTCTTAATGAATTTCACACCAGCAAGAGAGGGACAGAGATAAAAGGAGTCTTGAGGAAATGACTATGTGCTCAAGCTCTTCAATAACAACGCAGTGTATAGCTTACTTTCAAAGGGCTTGGTACTGAACTCTGCTAAGTGCACTTTGAGGACACATAATTTTATCAATGGGACATTCTGTCACGAAGTGTTCTTTCAGGACCCTATGCAGACAGTACAATCCGGGGAGGCATGAGGAAAACACGGGCCTGGAAGGAAAACAGGGGGCATGGTGGTCCGGTTTTCATGGGGGGGGTGTCCAAGGCAAACATGTCCAGGGGAATCCATAGCAAATCCAAGAGAGTAGCAATTGTCCCAGACCGGGTGATCCATCCTGACAAAGACGAACAGAGTTAAAAGGCAGAGCGGAATCCGGCGGAGGGTCGGGGGAATAAAAGAGGGGTCATGGGACCAGATGCTCCATAGTCCCAGACTCAGAAGGTCAGGACGTCATTGAAGCCGAGTCGCTCCTGGACTCGCGGATAGACGGGCTTCAGGGCGTCCATCTTCCAAAGCTGAGCCAAGATTGGCAGGAACGCCTGGCTTTTATAGGACGGGGGGCAGGAACCGGAGTCAGGTGCGGGAGATGAGTATAAAACAAGGAAGGGCTGGAGCATCCTTAAGAGGAGGGGTTTATGAGTGTGACCCATTCTTTCCCTTTCCTTCAAATTTAAGCATGCTACTCTCTGTACTGACAGTTCTGAATGTAGCTTTACCTTCTGTGTTGTGAACAATAAAAAATAAATTGTTTTTTGTCTGGTTTATTTTTTCTTACACACTAAAACTAGAATCTGAAATACTTTTTTAAAATATTGTGACAAGAAAGTTCATTTTATAAGTTAAGGGGCACACCTAGTCAAAAAGACCATTTCTTTTATTCCTTATATAAAATAACAACTCTGTTATTTAAATACAATAAACAGTGTTAAAAACACTCTAGGACCAAAAGCATTTGTTGTGTTTTTAATGCATCTTTGGATTTTCACAAGCCTACGCAAATAGACGACAAAATACTTTTAATGACTGTTTTTAATAGAATTAAACTGTTTTTGCACAAAACAGGTGCAGCTGGATTAAAATGGCTGTCTGAGGGAGGGTGTAATTTTATGTTATTGATGTATCACCTGTATGAAGATTAACACACACTGTCAAAAAGGAAAGTCCCTGTTCTACAAATTCCTGCTAGAAGATTCTAGATTATACAGATCAGACACCACAAAGTTAATTATTATTGGTGCTTCGACTCAAGTCTGTATTATTTTTACTTTTAAAAAATGTTTTACATCCTCTTAAGAAGCTGTATTATTTCCAGACTCGTGTTTCTATTTTCATCAGTTGGACATGACACTACAAAAAGAAAGAAAAGGTAGGTGGTCTAAAAGACTGCAAATCACACATTTTCAGCTCACTGATCATAGAGGCCTGCATCTACAGTATATACACACACATACACACATCTGCCAACCCCTTCTGTCACATGGCCTAATATCCTTGATTGTATTTATCTTGCATAGCTCTTCAATTCCTTAAGTTGTGAAGAAGAAAGACATTTGTTTGATTTAATGCCCAAATAATTTTATATCTTTAATCTTTTCCCTTTTGTGGGAAGGACAGTGAAAGGGACAGAGGAAGTTTAAGGTTAAGGACAATGTTTTCTGTTTATCTGAATTCCCATGGCTAAAGACTAGTAATGAGATCTCAAAAGGGAATATGGTTTTAGTACTCACTTCCTGTGGTACTGAGATAATGCAGCATAGTTTATAAACTCCATGTCAACTCATCATACACTTGAACCCAAGCATTCCACTGAAAGAGCCTGATGATCAGTTTTCCATTTGAAAATCAATAAAAATTTCATCTGATTTTCCTGGAATGTGTTTTTTCCACAGTTTTCAGACTGCAAAGGATGGTAGAAAAAAATCTCACTTCCAATGGATATAAAGGAAAAGGTTTTTGCAGCAAGACGGAGAAAAATCATTCCCAATTTTATTTCGGTGTGAGCGTAATGCCAACAAAGACTGATCCACAGATTGAAGGGATATTTAGGAAAGATTTTTGGATAATGATCTGTCTATAGCTAACAACGCTAGATCACAGATGGCCCCTAAAGCAAGCAAGGAAGGAACACACAGTTGTCAGATAACTGTTGCTTTCAGACAATACAGAAATAGGAATAAGCTATAGATGACCTGTTTGTTGTGATCTGAGGAGATGACACGAACGGTGTTCTGTCTGTGCATTGTAGCACATGGAGCAGTGGAACTTACATTTCTTCATTGATGATTTATTGCAGGAGGACTGATGAGGCATTCCAGTTTGACCACCGTGTCGTCAGAACAAACTGTTTAGCAGCAGTCACACATTTTTTCTATTCTGTATGCTCAACCAGTTGCCTCTTGTTCCTTGGACTGATCAATGCCAGACACAAAGTAATCCACCAGGACTGTATTCTGAGGCTGCCTGATCTCAATTCCACTGAATATGTGTGGACCACAAGCCCACTAATGACCACCTGGAGCCATTCCCAGGCTGCTGACAGCCCCAGGAGAACAGGGATGGAGAATCCCACAAGAACTGCTTGTTCACTACTTGACTGTAGCTCTATCTCTTCTTTCCCAGGCTTGTACCACAGCTCACAATGACCCCCCACATTACATTGTGTTTCCGACTTCCAGGTCATCAGCTAAAAATTTCTTTTTTGCTTTTTCTACTTCTTATGTTTTTGGCATACAGTTCTGTTGACACACAAGCAAAAACTGTTCAAAATGAAAAATACTGGTGGTATCTTAAAATTGAATTGATTATTAACAGTAATAAGAAAGCACTACAGCATACAGAATGAGACTTGATGGCATAATCATTATGTCAATATGATAGAAATTCAACATATTTATATTTTGCTTTTCAGCCCAAAGGATCTCAAAGCACTTTACATATAAGAGGGGACCCACTGTATCCATTGCTGAAGTTAAGAACCCACTTAAGGCAATACTCAGCAGACTCTCTCACCAGCAGATTCCAACTGGTGTGGTGAGAAATTGCTTCAACAAGCCCCAAACTGAATTTAATCAGGAACCTGAAGATAATACCCCTAATCGCTTAACCAGCACCAAGGAATCTTCAATGACCAATTAGTTAAGATCTCAGTTTAATGAATCATTTATAGAACATCACCTGCTGCAGTGTCCTCAGTCACCGTACTGGGGCTCTGGGTTAGAAATACTGGTCCAGAGGGTAAGAGTGCTACATAGTTGTCCACTAAAACTACTCAAAGCTGCAACATGGTTTTCTACAGAGGTCCAGATTTAGCCTCTCTCAGCTTCTGAGACCTGATGAGATCAGGCTTCAAGGTGACAATGCTATATGATTTCTTCAATATGCCCAACAAAGTTTATTTAATTTTAATTATGGCTTCAGCTACACACTAAGTAGAAATAAGTAAAGAGTAGTAGAAACTGACTTTGGGAATGTCGTTTTGGCCTGAGGGGGGACTCTATGGAAGAA